ATTACCATTGCCTTTGCCATATCTATCAATATTTTTATAGTCATTCTCGTTGYATTACAGCCCACCAACAATTGACAGGTCATCAAAGCCTAGTGATACTACATTTACAGGTAATACGAAGGAAGGCTTGAATGAGAATACTCCATTTTATAGTTCSAAAGCGATACAGTAGCTRAGCCTGCAATGATAGMTACCTTTTGTTCACACCATTGACCAAGACAAACTTCTGTCTCGCTTTGATGCGAAGGCTCGGCTACCTTTCAAGATGGCGCTTGGAACTGTAAAATGGAGTACATTTATTGCCAAGTACTGAAAGAGGTTGACCTGGGCCGGGTTGTTCAAAGCCCGATTAGTGCTAATCCTGGGTTAATTTTTAGAAAACCCAATGGAGTTAACCCTGAATTAACGCTAAACGGGCTTTGAACAACCCGGCCCTGATGTCAATTTTATATAAAGGTTTTCTAAGAGTTAACCTTGGATTAACACTAAACGGGATTTGAACAAACCGGCCCTGAAGTTCAAAACCTGGCATGTCACCGGAAGTGGCAGCTGTTTGTCAACATACCATATCAATAATATATTCGTATTTTTTAATTATTTCTTCTTCTTTTTTTATTAGACGGTGGTCTAAGGATTATGCACATCCCTTCAGGGYTAGCTCGCATCTTCCTGGACATTGCATCTCCCAACACTAGACAGAATAGGGAAACATGTGGGATACTCACTGGGAAACTGGTAACTACTAATTAAAGCAGAATTTCTATCACCGCGCTCCCTTTCTTACGCTCCGCAATGATTTAGCATTGTTTTAAGTATAAACGATGATTGAAATTGTCGCAAATACATAAAAAAATTCCGTTCACACGTACACGTATATAATTTTTAAATAAATGTATAAATCAAGCGAATGTGTCCGGAAAATGATCAAAATGCGGGCACAATCGCGGCTTCCCATACATTTCTGTTCTTCACGGTTTGAAATCCGGCAATGGACGAGACCCATTTATGATAAAAAAAAAAANCGTGTTTTTTGCACAGTCATACGAAATCCGCTCTATGTTATATTCTTAATGCCCCACGTGCAGCCGACTACCTTTTTTTTACACTCTAAAAATCGCCATCTTTGATTTTTAACCATTTGTAAGTAGTAGATTTGCTCAAATCAAATCTTGAAAAACAGAAAAAAAAGCCAGTAGCCGCAAAGATTCTTGGATGCAAGGCCTTCAGTTCACTTTTGTTCTATATTATTTTAGAAACACAACAATTTCCATATCACTCATCTCATCATCCCCAAGCAGTCATCAACGTCGGATTCTTGTACAACACTAAGTGAAGAAGACCTGTTTGACTACCAAGACAGCCACGATCTCATCACACTGGGCTGGATACATGTAAGAATCAGTCTATACCGCTTGAGCCTACACTTTTTTTTACTAGGCGATTTTTTAGGCGATATGCTGTAATGCGCATCATTTTGCTACCATTACCAGAATGTTCTTCATATTTTCTTTGTTATTCAAATTTTAATTAAGCAATAAACTATATCTTGAAGCGGTTTATTGGCGAAATAAACCGCTACGGATGGTTAGGAGAACACGAGAAAAGATCAGTAAATATCGAGTCGGCGTCGGCCATTTAGACTCCAAAGTCTTTCAAAACAGTAGGCTAGTTTATCGGTGAAATAAACCATAGAATTGAGCTATAAGAGAGTTTTAGATTCACGTTTACTGCAAACGCCAAACGTCAAGTTGGCTTTTATACTTTGTCTCAAAATTTCAAACTTACGTAAAAACGCTTTGAAAGGAATAGTGATGCGCTTATGCACGAAAAAGTGATCTATTTTATACCCAATCACGAAAAAACTGAGCGTTAATAAAGAAAAACAGTGATCACGTGATCAGTTTTGACGCTTGGCTTTCTGGTGACCTCGCAAAAGAAATTGGGCAAAGCATTCTAGTCTCGGCAGTATGCGATGACACTGTACAAATCGCCTGATACTATAGCGTGTGCTACAGCCTAAATTTTATCCACTGAAGTTTTTCATGGTTTTATTTTTTCTTAAGATAATCTGTAGAATGGCTAAATGTGTATTATCTTGTAGACCCATCCTTCACAGACAGCATTCATGTCTAGTGTTGACCTACACACACACTGCTCGTACCAGCTAATGATGCCAGAGGCCATTGCTATTGTGTGCTCTCCTAAATTCAATGAGTAAGTTATAGATTTTCTGTAAGGATTTAAAAAGAAGGTGCTGATAGCAATACTGTGAAAATTTTTCCAGATCAAATCAGAACTCGAAATTGGAGTATTGCGCATGCTCTCAATGGTGAGAGTGTAGCGACGTTGCAAGTTACTGCAATAGAAATAGACCTTTTTCTGAAATGCAAAAACGTGCTGTGTCGTTGTCTATAGCTTCAGTACAAACAATACCATGAAAAAACGATGTTTGCACCGATTCTAGACCACAATACGTATACACCTAATTGAAAAAACGTAGTCGTTTTCGAAAAGGTCACATCATTGAAGCTAAGACCGAAAGGGATTTTGAGTACCACTAAATTGGGATTACATTTGCATATACGGTGTTTAACATGGTGCACGGTAAAGCAAGTAGAGCTAGTAAGATTAACAGCATGCTAGTCTTTTATGCTGGAGAGCTGTTTGTTATGAAATTAGCCAAATTGTTTGTCTTCCCAAGTACCCTTTCGGTCTTAGCTTCTATGACTTGACATTTTTGGGCCCGACAAACATTCTTCAATTAGGTGTATCTTATTTACCGGCTGAGAGGTCCATATAGGAAAACAATGGCCGACAGTACGGAACGAGCGCAGCGAGGTCCGTACATAAAAGACCAAGGGCAGTGTTTTCCTATACGGACCGACCTAGAGCCGATAAATAACATTTTTATTTTTTTAATTTGTATCTTATGCAACTTTGCTCGCGGCCTAGCTGCAGGATACCGTTGGACCGGGTGGATCGTGAAAAACCGGACCGCACAATAGCCAATCACAGCGCGCGAATGACTAGGATACCGGACCGAAAAAAAAAATAAAATGAAAACTGCTCTCTTAGAAAAGGCCTATACTGAAGCCCTTCATGTGATGTGTGAGCAGACGTAAAATTGCAGTTCAAATTGGATCTATGTTCAGACATCTATGTTCTTTTTCTTTTTTATCTGTCTTGGTTGATATTTCATGTTTTTCTATCTTTTTTCTACAGAACTGGTGTGTTTTCACTAACCCAAGAATATGGAATGAAGTTCATATCGTCCTGTAGAAAGCCCGGGTTTCATCCTCATCCGAAAGAGCCTCCCATCTATAAGGTATAGGACTAGAGCCGTTTTAACATAAGTACACTTAACCCGTGAAGTAATTTAGTAAACTACTAGTCAGAGCAGACTTAAATTTAACTTTTTTTTTATAGAGCGGATTTCGTATGACTGTGCCAAAAAACACGGTACGTTCGTGCTGTGTCCGTACCGTGCCGTAGCCGTGATGCATTGGAAAATTACTTTCATTTGAAATCCTAGAAGGCGATGTTCTGTGACCGTGTCGTGCCGTGTCCGTGTTGTGATCCGTGCTTTTGCACAGTCATACGAAATCTGCTCTATATTAAAAGTAACTTCGGTATTCACGACTTGTAAAAAAATGACGCGATATGTCACGGTGACCGGCCAGGGCACTGGACCTAGCACTTAAACGAGGTCTCAAAGACCAGCCTCCGTAATCTTTCATGGTGTTTTGCAAGAGTGTTTTGTTATAAATAATATACTAATACATCTTTCAAAATTTGAGACTGCCATACATGTGATCTTTGTGGTGTTATTTTAGATGTAAGACCTCTGAGGTCTCGTTTCTGTGATTCGTCACTAGTCTCCAGACGGTCGTGAGCTACCGACATTTTTGAAAGTGTTGTGCTGTTCGTTTGTTTTGTCATTTTCATCCGTCTGTGAAACATTTACTACTAGTAAGTAGTAATAGTAACTATTACTGTGTAGTAGGCTAGCAAAARGCAAAGCCAAAACCATGTTTGCTTAATTAGTTTGTCGCATGTCATAAGTTAAACGTTTGGGGGCTAATAGGGAATAATAGTATTAAATAATACAATTCCTATTTCACACACGGATGAAAATGACTCTATCGTTAATTTTACCTAAATGGTTTATTGTTAGTTCAACCAATTGTCTCTAAATAGCCGCTATTTGTTAATATGTAGTTTGGCTTTATTTCATGGTTTTCCTGCGTTTGTTCTATTGTTAATACGATATTTTGTATTTCCATAGGAAAGTGACCACATCAAATGGCAAGATGGTGCAACCATTGAAGTAGTTGATCTACGGAGATAGGTTCCTTTATTTTATTTCGTCTTATGACGTTAATATACAAATTACTATTTTTGGTTTACCACGAGTTATTTTACCACGAGTTATTTTTATGTTTCTCGTCTAAAATTAGCTTATATGAACTCAAGGATGAATTTGAGTATTCCATTACCTCACTTTTGAGATCTTACTTGTGCAGCCTTAACCTCGAAAGCATATGATATATAGAGGATATTACATGGGCGCGTGGTRATACGGATTTTATCTACGAGTRTTGAAAAGATCTATCACGAGTGAGCGTAGCGATTTTCAACACGAGATGATAAAATKTGTTTCTCCAAGCGACCATGTAATATTCTGTTTACCATATAATTACATATGAAAGCAAATAATGGCGTAAAATAGAGTTTTTTCTTACTTCCACTATATAGAGAGACCTCGAATGTGACATTTTCACTAGTGAAAATAACATGTTTCACTAGTGACAGAAACCAGGACAGATCAGTCTAGKTAKAATTAATTATTTTAAATCCTTCAAAATATACCAATTATATGATAAAGCACTTTGTGTACAAAGAATGCAAAAAAATATGCTTGATCGAAACTAAGCTTRCACAGAAGAAACTTCGAAACTGAGGTATTAGCATAGAGTTTCACTGTGGAAATTTATACTAAAAATTCCTTCCTTTCAAGAGCTCTCGAAGACCGACTTCACTTCTTGAATGCGAAGAGGAAAATTAAAATGAAAAGAAAAAGATAAAGGAAGAAAGTCAAAGAAGCAAAGAATAAAAACGATTAAAGTTGCGGGAGTTTTTTTTTAAACAAGTGAGCGATATTTATAAATCCGCTTGCCTCTCGAAAGAAGACTGAAAAAGATAAATGGATCTTCAAAAGTTGTTAATATCCCTTGAAAAATAGAGAGTGCGGTCCTTTAGAGCCTTAAATAATGCCACAATTTTTATAGGTAAATCACAATATTTGTTTCACAAATTAGATGCGTCCACTCTTTCACTTTACCCACGTAGTATTGAAATGAATACAAACAAATAATTTAAACTTATCGTCGTAAAAATTACACGAAAACACATGTAATAAAACTGGATTTTTCCTTGGTCACCTCAAAAGTGGGATGTTCGCCGCAGTCAGTCAGCATGTGTGAACAGTACTTAAATTTTCCTGGTAATTTTACAGTAGGTGCTCTATAATTTTTGCAGAACAGAAGATTGTAAAAAGTTCATCATTTAAAATCTAAATAAAATAACAGAACTTTTAACTTTTAACTTTTAAAAAAATACTTAAAAGTATTTTTTTTTTTTTCAAGAAGTAGACAAGCATGATAAGCTTAGCTTAATAAAAGCTAAATTGCAAAACGCGTTTTCGAAAGTGTCCACTTTTAGAATATTCGGACACTGTCAACGATTTTGATGGTTTTATTGTGAAGACTGGTACTCGAAAAAAGGTAAATYACTCGCCTTGCGCGGCTTGTCATTTACTAATCTTTTCTCGTGTTCTCCAACCATMCYTCGCTGTTTATTTCGCCAGTAAATCGCTTCAAGCTATCGTTTATTGCTTTTATTTTATAGCCGGCGTCCTCCATTTAGACTGAAAAGTATTTCAAGACAGCGGGCTGGTTTACCTGTGAAATAAACCATATAGCTTTTCTCATGAAATYCGCCAATCAGCGCGCGTRTTAGAATTGAGCTATAATATAAGTATCGTAAGGTACGGAATCCTGAATCCGATAAAATTTTAGATATCGGGTATCTAGACAACTGTCATCCGGAATGCGCGGCAATAGACAGAKATGCGATAAAACAAGAGGAATTCGGAATCCAAATCTGTGATGTTAAAATGTTTGCTTCCTGATTGTAAACGCGTCACAGCACTTTGCATTCTCAATCCAATGAGGTGGGATCCAGAATCCTTGCGAAATTGTTCATGAAATCTGGATTCCAGTATTCCTGAACACTCCGGATTCATGGAGCAACATATAAAATATACGATGGTCGAAAGCGTCCGGATACATGTAAACGTGCTACGACTACATCATTACCAGTTTTTCTTTTTTAAAGTCAACAGCCTATTTTATTTACTTTATTTATTTTTGTGTTTTTATCTTTTCTACAAACATGAATTTAAAATCTTATCTCATCATTCTTGCAGCTATAGTTAAATGAAGCTACTGCGGCAATGCGTAAGAGTCTATAAAAATACACTATGCATCAGGATCAATTCTTTTCACTCGCAAAAGCGCTTTTCCTGAATTATGTACAGGTATAATCCTTTGTGATTGTTTTGCCCTTATTTTTACTTCCTYACTAAGGYTTGTATCTTCTTTAGTCGTCTTTTTGTGTTCTTTTGATTTATGCAAGGTGCCAATGGGCTTCAAATTGGGACCACCCGAGTTCAGCACTACGCTTTTATGAGACACAATTGCTTTATTATGCTCCAGTGCTCGGGATTTTTTTCTGCTCTTTGTATTTSTACTTAATGGYATGCCAAGMRAGGATTYTCGGGTACTTTTTACAGCAGYAGGTTTATCAAACTCTTCGGTATTTTTCCTCTTTACTCTTATAAGCGTCTTATCCGCTCTATCTATTGGTATACTCTCACTTTGTTTTCTCTTCACTCGAACTAAGGCGACATCACTTGCTCCACTCCTCTCCCTCAATGGACGAGTTCGTCTTACACGTTTTACTCTCACCAGTGTCTTATCACGTGACTCAGAAATTATCCTCTTTAAGTCGTTTTCATCGGGAATGTCTGGTCTTTTTACAAGGTCTCTAAGGACACGTGATAAACGAAACGGTTTATTCTTTCGTTCATAAGTCAATTTGATGTCATTTGCTATTGTTTGCATTTTCTTTTGGTCTTTCTCTAACGCTGTAGTGAGAGCCTTTCTTGTGTGTTCATCTCTAATGTTCCTCACAGAACGAGTTAACTCTTTTAAKGAAATGGGTCTTGCTTTAGAGACTTTGTTACTTTTGGAAACTATAGGGTTACCAGTTTTGTGTTTACTTGGGCTTTTGATGGGTAAGGGTCCTTCAGCATCACTRCTGTACTTTGTTTTACCTTTATGCTTTAGCACTTTGGGACGAGGAAGTGTTACTTCTTCGTGATAGMTAGTGGGAAAGTTTGTTTTACGTTTCGGGGATTTAGTGGCATTCATCTCGTTAGTCTTGACTGAAGCTTTGTGGTCATTAGAATTGAAATCATTGCGCAGAGTAGCGTTGACTTTGAATCCTTGTGTTTCGTTGTCATCTGAAATGTGACTGCGCAGCCGCGGCTGAAAGTCGTTCCCACGTGATTTATGTAGAGAACTCTGTTTGCTCTTGTTCAAAGCATCATTGCTTTCGTTGATAGGGAATTCGTGGAGAGCTTTCATCATATCTGTGTTGTTATTTTTTCTTGGAAGTCTGTCTTGTTTTGGTGCTACTGACACGTTTGTGAGTCGTTTTGGCAGTACAATCGTGAGAGGCTTTACAAGACTATCTGAATCCTTATGAGCAACCGTGCCAGTTTCTTTAGAACTATTTTGCATRATTTCAATGTCATTTTTACGTTTCATTCTATCTCTAAATGCTTGCAGCTTTTCCTTGTTTCCATGTAAACCGACATTGCTACCAGCATCTTCACCATCATGTTTTGAGCTTTTGTTTGCATTCTCARTCGGCTCCTSTTTGTCTAACTTCGTTCCTTTWATTATTTTCACAGCAGTTGTGCTTTCTCCAGAATTAATGGCATAGTTTGTATTACTTTCATTGCTCAAGCGATTCGTATATTGCTTTCTTCCACGTAGTTTAGTWTCATTTTTATCATTAGAACCGCTCGTATGATTCTCGTTATTTCTTTTGGCAGATTCTTGTGCGCTSTTAGCTATATTGGTCAAGTTCAACTGTAATCCCATCRAAGATTTCTTGTGAAGTTTTGAAGRTTTSATCTTGGTTATYAGAGAAAGAGATGTTCTTGCTTCTGGCTCAACCACAATGTCATCTTTATTAGAAACTAGATTTCTGTCAAACTTTCCATCGTGTTTCCCCAAATCTYCTCCTTCTGTGGARAAGYTCATGTTCAAGCTTGACTTTAATTCGATGTCCATATCTCTGCCTAAATTCTTTGAAACCTTAGCTTTCGTTTTATTTTTATAATGTACTTGGATATCTTTTACATCAACTGCGTCGTTGAGAATTGACTCAGTTTTGATTTGCTTTGGAGTCTTACGTTCAYTTCCTTCATCGCTGAACTTCTTATTTGGTAAAACGATATTTATACTTCTTTGTCTTCCAGAATATTCTAAATTTGGCTTCTTGGCACTCAGTTGCAAAGTTTCGTTAGATCTATATTTCGGCGTGTCTARATACCTCAAGCCCAAAGAGTTCATAAAATGTCGATAAAATGCTTGTTCTTGATTTTCRTTGTCTTTCTTTAAAACTTCGCCCATTTTACCTCTTTTACGCATGCGCTTCCTTTGGATCCTGTATGGTCCTCGAAATTTTCTTGGGGGCCTTCTGATTGGATTAAAATTAAAAGACGTCTTTCTTGATCCAGGTCCTTTACGAACTYTTAATGACTTTTCAGCGGACTTCAAAGACGATTTTAAAATGCGAGAATCGTTTCTATCAATGTTRTGATCAACTTTTTCTTCGCGATAAAGAGCRCGATTTGCTTGATCCTCGGACACATTTGCTCGACGAAGAATATCCATGGCAACTGTTCCTGTTATATCAGCAGGCGGACCATGGTCCTTTGCGTGKGTTAAAACTTTCTTGTGCTCTTTATGCTTGGAATGGAAGTAAACGGTTTTGACTTGTGACTCTGAAAGATAAATACGACATCGGTAAATCTTGTGAAGAATAATCCCAATGGGTTAAATGAACGCTTCGTTTTCCGATATCTTTTGTTTTCCTTTATAGTACCTCTTCCGTTCTTTTCTTCAACACATCTATTACTTTAGTTGTTTATTTCCCGTTACCATGCTTACCTTGCTCCTATTGGTCTACTTTCTTTGCTCGTGTCATTATATAAACTCTCACTTAGCCTAGTTTCATCTTTTTACTCCGACGAAGGATTAACTTGTCCGAAATGTCAGCTGGTCAGTAAGTTGTTTTACCTACTTTTTTCACAGTAGTTTAATATATCTTTTCTCACACAACAGTTTCTTTAGAAACASCGACTCAGCTCACACTAGTTTACCGCTAGTAGCCACCCTCATGAAGAATAGCCCACCTAATATTTCATAGCCGTAGTCACAGGTCCGATAAGTCTGGTTTGAGCATTTGCTACTCGGAACCATCCCTTCATCTCGTCTTGTCTCAAAGGCGTATATCAAATTTGTGGCTACAATTTGTGCGAAGGGGTTTGATACTGTAAGTAACCTTATGTGAATGTGATTTGACTAATGCATACCTGTTTGCTTGTAAATTTGGTCATTGCCGTCATGTGACATGCCAGATTTCGTTTCCATCATATATGACGCCACTGTAAGTCTAGTTGGCTGTGTTCCTCGGCCAAATCCATTGAAGAATGGAAAGGAGTAACAAACATGCARGCCTCCACAGTACGAATAGAAGACTGACACGATGACAAAGAAGAAGAAGAACCCGACAATGAGGTTACATTTGGTGGATATTTTCATGGCCAAGGATTACTAAAGTCTGCTAAAAAATATGGTATATCATAGTGACACTAATTTGTGAATCCAGGCGTTTCTAAAGGCGCTAAGATTATGTTTGGACACAAACTCTCAGGCTCAAACTCTCTTGGAGCAGCTCAACTAACAATAAAACAATACACCTAATATTTTTGTTTTATTCGTGTCCAAAAGGTTTACATCAGGAAGGCTAGGACCGAAAGGGAGCTTGGGAAAATAAATATTATGAGTATAACAGTGTTAAAATGCATTTTATGTATGTACCTGAATTGCCCAAATAGCTCMAAAACGCACTTTTGCACATTCTCGTATCCAGATCTTCATCAGTTTAACAACGGAAAATCGAAATCTCTGGCTGGAAACAACACCAGAAGACCTAGAATCTAAGTCGTACGATATATGCATACTGAAGGCACATGGAAATTTGTGAACCAATCAAATCAAATCCCCATTCTTCATCAACCAGAGCCTTTAATTTTCCGTGAGAAGGATCTGGGTACGAGAATTAATGGTTTTACACTGTTGGCAATACTATGAGGAGACTAGTGAGAACAACGCAAATACCCCCCTTTTTTGTCTTGAATAATTTTTAAATATCGAAATAAAAATCCTACTCCCATTTATTCCAGTGGTCGAAATGATAATTTTCAGCTCGAATCAGACCTAAGACAGGCCTGTTCAGTAATATATTTCGTAAAGCCGAGTGTCTGATAAAGTCTTTAGTTAACGACAAACGTCTACTGCTCCTTCCAAGAGCAATTTAAGAATAAGACAGCATATATAGCTGCAAACTTTTAATAAAATGAAACATTCTTACSACAAAACCTTTATCTTAATACTTACCTTTTATTCTATTGTTTCCTCAGTCTGAATCTAAGTTGACTTCAATGGTCACATTAAATTGATGTATTAYAGACCATTCGATCTCTAACGATGTCAAAACCATTGTTTACGCTACTCTGAATAAGAAATGTCAGCTTTGACGATATTTGTAGGATTTCGTACAATTTTCGTCAAATAACCGGTGATTAACAATTTTCTTTTAGTTTATAAGTTTTCACTTAGTCTTTACTGTGTTGTTACTTGTGACCAGTCTACCTGCCTCTCGCACGGGTGGCACTGTTGACTCCTTCGTGCTGTACATCACACGCGTTATACCACAGGAATCCCAACAATATACATGTTAAAGCACAGGAATTCCAAAAATATATATTATTTCCAATCACATAAATTCCTTTAAGCTTTTTATTTTGTAATGTTAATAACATCTCAAAAAACGCTCCATTTTTCTTGAATTAATTGATAGTTTTTTTTTGCATGTCTTTTCTTCTGTTGTTTTCTTATTTTTCATGATCTAGGCTTTTTATCCTCCGCAATCAGTGGCAGTATAGTTCAAACAAGGATAACATTACTCGAGGCATATGCATACGTTTATTAGGAGAGCTTTTATCATTTGGTTGCTAAAAATCCGATTTAGAAGTTTTCTTAAGCAAATGTGCTAAGCTATTTTCCAGTTTAGAGACTATGAAAAACTCAAAGTGATCTGGTATTTCATTTACAAAAACAAGGCGAAAATTCCTTGAGATGGCTGACATGTCCTAAGCTTGACTTTGCTTTTAGACAGACGATCTGCCAGCCGGTGTAATTAAAGTTATCTTGTACCTAGATTTATGTAATGTTTAAAGTCCGACAATGAGGAGTGGAAGGAATTTCAAGTACGCGCAATTAGTTCCAGTCCGATGCGCATAATACGGCGTACAAGACGGCGCATATACACTGGACGGTTCGGGTACGTTTCGTGAGGCAATCATGTATGAAAGAGCTTTTTTCACTAAATTAATTCTATGTTGAATTGATAATTCCTAATATAATGGTCAAAACTAACCTGCATATGATTGTTAAATTCACAATACGGAAAAAGAAAACACTCAGATGATAAAGGAAAACCTCCTAAATCCTAAGGGTTGGAAGAGGCACAAAAACAATGGCAAAAACAAGGATACAAAGGCCTCAGCAAAGAATTTCATACAAATTCTTGCATTTTTTTTTTCACTCCATAACTTCATTAGTATTTATTCCATAGCTTCAAAACTTTCCACAAATTTTGTATTGCCTTCGTTCTTCCATATAACAATGCTGAATGTTCTCATAATATTGACTATTATATAAAATCGATCGGAGCATTTATGAAAGTGGTCCGTAGTTGTTTGTTTTGATGTAAAAGCGCTGTTGATTTTCATTTTAAAGCTAACTGCTTTGCTTTGCTTGTACTGGATAAGTTGAGTTCAGATGTATCCCGCAGGCCTTTACTTGCCTCAATAGAGAGTTCCCTAGTTCTTAAGCTCATTGTTACTTAAATGCCTATAACAAAATATGACAAGAAATATMAAAATCCTTCCCTTTTTAATCTGAACTGCCTATCTTATGAGTGCCCTAATTCCAAGGGAAAAAAGAAAAAGAAACAAGGACGAGTTCAAACAAGCTTTATTTGTCAAATTACAAAAATGGACTTCTTTGTATGACTTATACTGAAATAGTCGAGTTTGTATATATCCCACAAGCCTTTGCTTGCCGCCAAAACCTTGTTTGAATAAAGTCGTAAAGTTTGATATCAGCGGCATTTAGCTTTCGTATCTCGTTGAACGTCTTTTCAGAMACCTCACTGGAATTGTACAGTAAATTTACCTTAACTTTGAAATCGGTTCCAATTGCATWATGGGGCACAAATCCCGGYAAACGYTTGTGTAATATTTGTTTGTAGACATCCAGATGCTCAAGCAGCYCAACACTTGCATAATGCCGAACTATATTGCTTTTTGCTTCTTGCAGTGCTCTTGTGGAGTCTCCTTTGCAAAACCAGTGCTTTCCACAAAAGAACTGCGTCATAACATTTCTCTCGCAGCCCTCGTGTTGTAGCTTGAGGCATTGTTCAAAGGTTTCATTCAAATGTCCATTACGACGAATTTCGCGCAGTCGCCTTTTAGGTCTATCGYTACTTCTGTGTGTGTGGAAAAAGTGMGAAATAACCCGTCTAACCGGATCTCGAACCTGATTTATGTAAACATAACGATACGGGACTTGTATTTTTGAACGGAAGTAGAAATGCGCAATAAAAATATAGCGTTTCACTTCCGGATACTTGAGTCCCATGATGCTTTGCAGGAGCCACATTAGGGGAAAATGAATCCTGTGAAACAAGAACATGATTTATCGTGAATAAATCTATGTGAAATGATATACCCCATTAATAGACTTATGGGCCTTTTACGTCACTACTTTAWTTTAGATGCATTGTGGGATCAGTTGCTAAAGAAAATAGAAGAAATCCGCCTGTTCAATCCCAAACAATGCATTGCGTTTACGRWACATGACGTAAAAGTTTCAGAGGTCTATTGTGATGATCGAAAATGATCTTGAAATTATGTTCGTATTATCGTAAGCATTAGCATTAACATCGCATTATCGCAAGCATGAAGCACTTTTAATTAGGCCTGTTCACTACTGTGACGTCATCAGAATCTTTTACGCAAGAAAAAAAATGCACGTTGAATAAAAAATCAATATCAGAAACTAAGACATGGGTCAAACGCCGAACTAAACATTTTGTCCCACCAAATTCAAGTTTCTATTGGTTAACGTCATTGCGAAAGTCATTGTTTTGATCTCATTTGCATTGGAGCGACTATAGTCATATGCCGTACTTCTCTTGCATTAAATTGCAACATTGAAAACTTTCCATTCTCTTGAATCGTATAGCTGATACCTTTTCTTTTTGAAAGCACATACCTTATAAACCTATCATTTGGCAGTAGACACTTTGCATTTTAAAAGCTCGTGAATTTGAACAGAATTCGTTCCAGGATGTTTGACCCAGGTGTAAACTGTAACATTATTGCGTGACAGTTTTCAACTGTCAAGTTTTTCGATGGCTGAAGATGTGATACTGGGCCAAAATAGCTGAAGGCAAACAACTGTTCTAAAAAACTGTTTATAACATGTATTTTTAATATGAGTCTTTATTTCCATCAGCTATTGATAGTGTTGTCTAGTTGCATTTGTACGATACACTAATCCTGATTTTCTTTCCACGAAGTTAAAAAAATGTAAGTAAAATAAATGAGGTTTTGACTATGAATGTTGGCAACAACATATTTCAAAAAGTAATGTGATCTTTCTACAAAAAAAAAAGAAAAAAAATCCCAAAGCGGTTTGTAAGTTTATAGGTTTTTAGCGGTTTTAGAAAAACAGTCACAACCAAATATCACAGATGCATGTATGTATGCTATTTCGTATATTAAGTCGCGTACTGTCAGTACTACTGAAGATAGTTAAGAATGTCTACTTACGACTTCGACTCCTCTTTTCCGACGATTTGATGTGGCTTTGACTTCTGTGTAGACGTTAAATGTACATGCGATTATATATACATTTCATCAATTTGCTGGTAAACCATGGCCAAAAGAAGTCACTCCTATGTATACACGGTCGTATGTATCAAAGAAAATTATTGCTGGTAGCTAATTTTAAGCGCCAACTAGAGTGGTAACATAGTCTCGTTGGGTAACGGATGTGGTATTTTACATTCTAGCTAATTTGCATAGTATAATCGTAGATAAACAAGAAAGAGACAGGTATATTGTCATGATTTTGAATTAATTTGTTGACAGACTGGATTTAAGTTGGATCATTGGATGTCTTGCTCTTTTTACCATACGTTTTATTTTATTTTTATTTTTTTAAACTTATTTATACGTCCTTTTTGAATCATTTATAGAAATAAAATTCAAATTATAGTTTTACATCAGTAAAAGATGCTATTTTCAAACTCATTGGCGTTACCGTGGTAACGATGTCAATCACATTTTTTTGTGGAAATTGCTTTCATTCTCGTGACAAACTTTAGCTGCGAAACAAAACAATACGAAGTTTTAATGTGACTTCATAGTGAGAGACTAGAGAAGGGTTAAGTGTCCATTTACAACCGTGAACCTTTGAGATCACAGTTTATTTTTTAATGATCTTTGGATGAAATTCACTAAAAAGAATAGATCGTATATAAATGTAGATAAATGCACTGTGAATGGCATTTGAACGAAAAAATGTTTATGTATCTTTTTGTTAGTTGGTTTTTGTTTGTTTGTTTGTTGTTGTTTTTGCAGACACTAGCGAATGCCACACAATTCATTGCAAACTGTAGGAAAGTTGGAAGCTTCAGAGGTCTATTGAGTCAAAACATATGACTAGCTTGCTAACTTTTGTTCAGATTAAAATCAAAGATGGGCCAGTTTTCATATGTTGGAAACTCCAGCTGAGATTCTCTGATCAGCACGTTTGTTTTTTTTATTTATTGTTATTTTCATTGTTTGTTTGTTTGTTTGTTTATTTATTTACTTTAAAAAATAAAAATAAAAAGCTAGGGTTACTGCAGTTTGCTATAAGAGGTGGTATACTGTGTTAATTGACCCGCAAGGCCGACACCGGTTTAAACCTACCTCTCAACACTCTTCAAACTTCCAAGCAAACATAAATAATTTATAAGTGGTGCTGCGTGAAAAATGACAATGAGATTCCTGAGGCCAAAATATTTGGATAACATTGAAATCCATTGGATGTTAGACGAGACTACTTGCCTTGAAAAGTGTAAGTTTGTATCAGGGATGTATCAATCAAATTAAAAACGACAAAACGTTATACAAAGAAACATGGTTACCATTGATCACGATCGCTGAATTAAGGGCGCTATTCTTTGAATAAGAGAAAGAAGCCTGCTTTCAACACGGTAAGATTATTACAACGAATTCACAGGGCGATAGATGATTTAAAAGGTTTCGACATGACAGCTCTGTTTATTTATGAATTACTGGAGAAAAAAACATCAATAGTGACATGTTATTTACTAACTGTACATTCATAGGACCTTTTTTTTTGTATCTTGATTATTTTTGCTCAAGACAGGTATTGTTGTTGTTCTCAAAAGCTCTCAAAAAGGTGCCGATCTGTACTTTCCAGAAGGTAGCATGGCGTGTGGCTTAGCAATTGGAGTGGAATTCCCGCGTAAACAACTAAAAACTGATTCAATTTGATCGATATCTACGTCTTATCAAAGACTCGTACCCGGTCGTCGTTATTCTTCACTTCTATGGCGTGCGCAAAGGATCAAGGGAAGAACTTCCCTTGATGCATCGCGATACGAAAAACGAGTAAGAGAAACGACCGGATACGAGTCTGGTCTTATCCTCACGATGCTGGAAGCTGTTGCTGATCCAGTTTTCCTGGCTTCAAAGTTGCAAGTTTCCAGATCACAACAGTTTTTGTTTATTTATTTATTTATACTTTAATACTTACAGTATTGTAAGACCATTTTTCACTTTTTTTTTTGCTTTTCTCTGCTCAAATTGCAAGTTTGCAATTCTTGGATTTCATGTGAGTGAGTTTCTAAGTGCAGCACACATATTATGAATAAAAAAACTAAGATTAAAATTATGCTTAAAAATACTTTAAAAACTGCAATGTTTCAATGTTTATTGAGAATGGAGTAATTCTGAGCTGCCAGAATTTCTTCACTAATTGACTTGAATTAAGTTTGCAAATTATTTCACGATGATAGTGAATGCACTCTAATATAGACTAAATAACACTATTCTCTTTCAGGATTCCATAAAATGTTGTTGCAAGGCATCTTGGGACTCAAGTACCGATTTGTGGTATCAATTTTAGTTGGATGGGCCATCGTCTACGTCATCATCTTCTATCGAGAGCTGTGCCGTTTGGACATACTAAAAGCAAATAATGTTTTTTTCACAAGAGTAAAATCAAGACATAAGAAAAGTGTCATCATTTCTTTGGATAGGACAGCAAATTGTTCGGCATTAAATCCAGATATTCTTTTATACAATAGAATATTCAAAACCGGCAGCACTAGTATGCGAAAATGGTTTACAAGCTTTCAACATAATAGACAATTTCACTTGGAATTCGCGACAACTGAACAGTGGTATGACCACAAGAAAAAACATGTTTTTCCAGGGATCATTGCACGGCATGCGAAAACAATGCTTTCAAAAGCGGAAGTGAAACGTTATATTTTCATGGCTCATTTCTACTTCCGTTCAAGAATAAAAGTCCCGTATCAGTATATTTACATAAATCAAGTTCGCGATCCGGTTAGACGGGTTATTTCACATTTTTTCTACATGCACAGAAGCAAAAACAGGCCAAAACGGAGACTGCGCGAAATGCGTCGTAATGGACATTTGAAAGAAACCTTTGAACAATGCCTCAAGCTACAACACGAGGGATGCGAGAGAAATGTTATGACAAGGTTCTTTTGTGGAAAGCACTCGTATTGCAAAGGAGGTTCAACAAGAGCACTGCAACGAGCAAAAAGCAATATAGTTCGTCATTATGCAAGTGTTGGGCTGCTTGAGCATCTTGATGTCTACAAACAAATATTACACAAACGTTTGCCGGGATTTGTGCCCCATAATGCAATGCAATATGTTTTTAAAGTAAAGGTCAACCCTCGATACAACTCAAGTGAAGTTTCTGAGAATACGCTGAACGAGATACGAAAGCTGAATGCCGCCGATATCAAACTTTATGACTTTATTCAAAAAAGGTTTTGGCGGCAAGCAAAGGCTTGTGGGATATATACAAACTCGACTATTTCAGTATAAGTCATACAAAGAGGTCCATTTTTGTATTTTGACAAATAAAGATTGTTTGAAATTACACGTAACTCGTCCTTGTTTCTTTTTCTTTCTTCAGATTCAAAACGGGAAGGCTTTTCATATTTCTTGTCATATTTTGTTATAGGCATTTAAGTAATAATGCGCTTATAAGAACTAGGGAACTCTCTATTGTTCTGCGGCATTGCAACTTCCCCACATAAGATTGTCTTGGTTTTCACACATATATCATCGTATGGGTAACACATTTTTGAAATAAAATGTGGATAAACTCTATTTTGAAACAAAGTTTCTTTTGTATTCAAACCTCTTATCCAATCATAAGCACTCAAAACAATAGCCAAAAGAATCTTCTAATTTGCTATGTTCCCCACATGTACATAGAATTGCCTTAATATTGAAGCTAAAGAAAACTTTCATGAAGTCGAAATCAGATATTAAATAGTTTATTAGAAATTGCGCTAACTTATGAAATTATAGCAGATTTTCTTGTTTTAACCAAGTGGAATGGATGGATTATAAAATACACAATTAGCACCTTCTTGCATTCCTTTGGCGTTTGCTTCCCTAGTTCTTACTCGGGCCATTACTTAATACTCCAATTTCGAGTTCTGGTTTGCTTTGTGTTAGCCTCAAAACCATATTGTAATGTTTTATTGACAGTCCGAGCAAACGCAAGGAAGTTGTAAAGAGAAACAATAAAATTGATTTGAAATCTCACAATTTTATTCGATCTCACAATAGATTATTTTGCGCACAAATCGGACTAGGCTAACACAGAGCATTGGAGAATTCGAAACTGGATTATCATATTTGATGTTCCTCAATGGGGGCGCCTGCCGTGGAACATATGGAACTTCTGCTGATTTGCCATTGATTTGAGATATTTATATGAACAGAATAGCAACGGGTACATCAATACTGAATTGCACAGTTTTCTTAGATCTATCTCGCGGACAGCTTAGAATAGCAGTGCAGTGACATGCTAGGACAGGAATCCCAGGCAATTAAAAGAAAATAGTAAAAGACGAACATGCTAGTCGTCGAATTTCTATATTGGATTTATATAATAAGCTATACTATTTCTTTATGAAGAGTTCTCAAAGGGCAAATCATATGTTTCCAAGTTCGCTTGCATTGCTTATCGATATTCGATTTCTGCGACAACACTGAAATAAGCGAAAAATTTCCCTTTTTATTTCGCGCATGCGAAATGCATAGACAAGAGAATTGACAAGCGAGTTGCCATATTGGAATAACTTCACAGAATAATACAAGTTTGGGTATCGACTTAGTAAGGTCTTATCAATAAGAAAGGCAATTGTAAAACATGCGTAAGGCATCCACATCACCAAGCTTAGAATAGTAACAACGGCAAGAGTGACAGTCAGTTTCTTGTTCTCTTGGATCATTACATCATGAGCTTGAGGGCTTGTGCAACGAACTTTAATAACAACAAGAGAGTAGGAAGTAGATATTATCGCTAGCGTGAAAGCAACAAATTGCCAAAAGAAAGGTCGAAAACATGAGATGGATGCTGTTGACCACATTAAAAGTATCCCAATAATATACGGTCCTTTACCTAATGTGGAGTGTCTGAATGGAAAGTATGTTGCATGTGCTCGTTCAATGGCCAAGGCTGCCAAACCAAATAAGGAAGCTCCCCCGCAGAAGCCATCGATTGTTGCATAAGCCTTATGGTAATCTTTGTTTATTTGTCTGTATAGAATGAACAATGGAATGGGCCCAGCGCCAACCAAGAGATCAGCTACAGCCTGACTGATAATCATTATGTGCTGTTTATTGTGAAGACGGCGTGTTCTTGTGAATATGGCAATTGTTGCAGCATTACTTGCAATGATAACAACTGCTTTCAGTACAAACAGCCATGTCAAGTTCCACTGCATTATCGACAACACACGCAGTGATGATAATTTTTCACTGGAGAAACTGTGACAGAAAGAACGTACAGATCAATTTACTTATTCAATTTTTTACCATAACTTGCAGTAGAATTCTCGCGCGCTGATTAGCCGAGAGCCGTTGTCGATCCTAGGACAGACCGATGACAGACCGCGCTAGACACGGTTTTGTTTTGAAAGTATTTGTTTTCGGCTTTGTTATGGTAAAAAAAATCGAAATCGCTTTTCTATGGTCTGTACGCTTATCGACAATGAAAATGGCGCCAGAAAATGATCAAAACTTGACGCCATTTTCATTGCCGATAAGCGTACAGACCATAGAAAAGCGATTTTCCTGTCAAAAATTCTTAGAAAATATTCCTTGACTGGAGAGTTTCTTTCCTGAATTTCTCGCTGGCATGGCAACCAGTTGTTACTTACAGCTTGCTGGGACACAAGAACAGATAATATATTTCTCCCTTTCTGTTTGCTCGTTCTAATAATGTATTTTTTGTTGTTCTATTTTGAATTGCAATGCTTTTTTAATCCGTGGAGCAGTCGATGCGAATTCAAATGAAAAAAAAATACTTCTGCCGCGAATATAGAGGCGATGGCGGTGAGAACTCAAGCAAAGACTATTAGTCAGTGCCTTTTATTACATGAAGCGGGCGGCTGTCCAGTTGAAGCAGCTGGCTTCTTATCTATTCACTAGATGGCACACTGCAAAATCACAAGAGAGCCTGGACAGCCTGCTTTATATATCAGGCTTAAAATTGCCTCGAATGAACCGGCAATAGGGTTTGAAGAGATTATTACATGTTGGGTACACTTTTGATACATCCGCAATATGGATCAATGGGTCATGATTTGATCTGTAGTGGATCTGACTCGTCTTTTGATCTTCTGAAAGATGGAATTTTGCCCAAGCCGAAACATCTCTTTTCGTAAAAATGGCTTCGGTATGATTACAAGAATATATCAAGTTCCAAGGTATAGGAGCTGATGGATCAGAATATTTGAATATCAATTTCGGTACATTTTTTCCGAGCTGAATAGCAACTCATTCAAGACAAAATAGTTCATGAGAACAAAGTTTTTATGAAAAGCTCTAATTATTTTTCAAGACTTCCGATCTTTCCTTTGTCAACTCGCCTTGCTGAAGCCTGACTAAAACACTCTAAAATTAGATGAAATCATATTTCAGGGTTATAGATAGACTCACCTATTTGCTCAATAAGCAAGTGATCGTCGCTCTATGTTTGTAGATGTTCAACGGAGCAGTTGTCTGAGAAGGTACTTTTAATCATGCAGTCAGAAAATGCATAAAAAACATTGATACGTTGATAGCTGACAAATTGGATTGATTTGACAGGGCAGCTATATAGATCTACAGATTTTGAAATAGCTCAGTGTGCCATACACATGCGGTCCAATAATAAGCAATTAAAATGGCCAGGTGGATGGTGCGTATTAGCATCAAGATATTTAGATTGGTAGCCATCCCTTAAAGTTTTACTTTGCATGGAAATGTCTTTATTTCGAAACTCCAAGCAATACAAATATATAACTTATTTATAACTTTTAAAAACAATTGCGGATAAAAATTCTTGGAATTATCCCATAGCAGAGAAATTTATTTATTTATAATTTATCTTTATAATTATTTGATTTCCAAGTCTGTTCTCATATTTCGCAATTTTCGTCCAAGTAGCCTTTTAATCATTGCAGTTTTTGCTGCAAGCTCGAAAATAAGTGATAAACTAGAAAAAGGTTCAAGAAGTAATCATGATCATAAGAAAAATAAACTGATCAGCGCTTTTAATGAAAACAAAACATTATTGCGCAACCATGTTGGTCAAATTGAACGAACTACAGTAATTGGTCGACACATAAAATTAAAGCTCTATCAAACGTTTTAATTTATCCCACAAACGAAAGTGCTTTTGTTTGTCTAAAATAATTCAGATCACAATATTTTTTCCTGCTAATCTTGAGCAGGTGAGAACTATGCAAAATACAAGACGTAATCGGATTCTTATTCGGCAAATTCCTAGTTCAATGAATTATATAGAAAACAATTACAAAACAGCACGTACAGAGCTTTAGCCAAATCAGAAATTTCCGTTCTGTTTAATATAAATGATACTAGATAATCAAAAGCATCATGAATTCTTGTCAGTATTTATTGCATAGTAGTCTCTTACCGAAGTCCAATGTCCTCAGTCCCAAGAGCCTATCCTATTTTACGCATATGAAGTACAAGGAACAGAGGRRGCTGGTTACGAGAGTGAACCGGTCATGGTGACTGTCAGCGAGTATGCGCAAAAAGAAGTTCCTTTTGTCGAATTACCAAACAGTTGTGATTATTTTAAATTTATTGTAATTTTTTTAAAATAGATGTGTATTTTTTTTATTCAATGACCATAGGCAAGAATTCTCTTAACATTACTTTATCACAATTACCGTGTACCATATTGTTTATTATAAATGTTAGCACTGTAATCATTAGAGTGGTTTTCATAAACCCGTGAAACAAAGTGTAATAATTAGAGTTTCTAAAATATTTAGGATACTACGCGCGCTGTGATTGGTCGAAAACCATGTTTGATTACAGTATCAAAACACGCTCGCGCGCGTCAAAAATTTCTTTTATTCTTTTTATTTTAGAAAAGAAATAAAAGACGGAATTCCGTGTTTGATACTCTGATCAAAACACTTGGGATGTAGGGAGAGCACTCGAAAAGCTGGAAACAACTCCGCTACGCGTCGTGGTTTCCTACGCTTCTCTTGTGCTCTCCCTACATCCAACCAAAGTTTTTAAGGTCAAAAATGGCAAAACATTTTTACAAGAACAGTTATTTAGAAGAACATGCAGACCCCGTCGGCTCCTCCTGCTGGGATGCGAACTTTTTGTTAAGTGGTTAGGTTAGGGTTAGTATTAAGGCTGATTTACACGGTACGATTTGTCGTGCGCGACTTGTAGTATACGACTTCAAGAATCGCGCAGTGTAAATGCCCCTACGACTTGTCTACAACAGTCGTACGCAACCTACGACTTGTAGTAGGGTTTTGAACTACTGCTTAAAATCCTACGACTTGTAGTAGGAAAATCGTATACTACAAGACGAGCGCGACAAATCGTACCGTGTAAATCAGCCTTTAGAATTCCACATTCAAGTACTGTAGGTCAACAAACTCGAGATGTCTTTTCTTTGATTCTCTGGTTGACCTTTAATTGATCTCTCCTGCTATTTATTGCAACATATTTTTTGCTATCACTTATTTCCGCTATTTTAATTGCTATTTCATTGCTTTAACAAGAGGAGTAGAATCACTATTGGCCCTATAGCTATAAAATGGGCGAAGCTTATCATGATCGTCTGCCTGACCCAAAGGATTTCTTACTCCTTATCTTAAGTACTACAATTTTAGTCTTATAAAATTTCTGTATACGTACCTTGCTATAATAAAGATTGATCAAAACTGGAGATAATTCACTTGACGTGGACTACAAAACCTTATTATTGCTTCATGTATTCAAAATTATAAAAAACTCAAAACTTGACTGGAGATGCAATGGATAAATATATTTCTGTTATATATAATTCCTTCGCTTCTTTCCCCTCATGAATAGTAATTAGTATGAGAAGTCGTTCAAAGTCCGAAAATGAGAATTAGACGGGATTTATGCAAGTCCGCGCAATTAGTTCCAGTCCGAGACGTCGTTACTTCCAAATTGTACAAGAGGTGCGATGTTTTGTTTAGTATAGTACATTCAGTGAAACAAAATTTTATAAGGGGTAAATTAACGTCTGTAATTGTACTATTTTTGGCTAATGAAAAAGTTTCATTTTGTTGAATGTACTCAATTTTTTTTTTGTCGGGAGTACATCAATTTTTTTTTGTCGGGAGTACACTATGCACACCATGAAAAGCATTCTGCAGCCATCAAAATCGTAATAAGTTAATCTCTTTTTTGCTACTATCCTTAATCATTCAAATTTCCGATTTACTTAAGGCCGTGTCACACTAGAAAATTTCGTTGCAACTTAGCTCGCAAGAAAAAGTCTTGCACGCGTAAATTGAAAATGTAAGATCACCTGACTTTCTGTCTCGTTTTCTTCTTCAAAAATTATCGCTTTCGCCAAAGATGGCGTCGGGCATCTTTGTTGATTATTACAACAAGTGACAGCAGGACAGATTCTCGCTTTCTTATGGGTTCGTGCGCCTAATTGAAAAATTTGGAAGTTGCAAGAGACCATGTCACACACGCGTTTTTCCGAAAAATGTTGAAAAGAGTAGAAGCCAGTTCTACTTTTCTCTCAACAAAAAAATGAAATGTTCAAGTTGCATGAGGGGGTGTCACACGCAAAAAACGCTCGTGCAACTTACACCATTTCATTTTTTGCGCGACACAAGTTGCACGAAAAAAAACGCCAGTGTGACACACTGGTATTGCTGTCGGCATGTCATCTCAGTGCTACAAATTTTATAGCTCGTTTTCACCTTGATACTAATATGTACTTCCTGAAATACCGACACCGCACGATCATGATGCCCATTTTATACAAAGCCGAGCTTTAACTTCTGGCATGAAGTAGACGCTTGTGTACATTTCGGTTCGGCTTGGTTTGTATGTTTATAAAGTAACTTTCTTATATGATGCTACAAATACTTCGATTAAAGCTTTATAATGTTCACTTGCATATCAACATCGTTTCTCTCAGTCTATTGCTTTGCTTGGTAAACACTTCACCAGTTATATTTTAGACTTGTTGCTCTTCTTCGTCATTGGAATATCTTCTTCTTCTTCTCGCCTCAGGCACTAATGGCGGATTGTTTGCCATTTGTCTCAGTTCCATTGAGTTTCTTCTGTTCTCGTTTCTGWCGGTTTTTCTACACAGTACCTTCCTTGCTCCTTCTCGAAAGTCAGACAGAAATATGATATAAATAAACGGACTGAAACAACTGTTGAAAAGAGGGAAGAATTTTCCCATCATAAACAAACATGAATTGCAGTCAACAAGAAATGCGAGTGCAGCCAAATCCCACGGCAGATAATATATAGACTCTAAAACAAAATACGTAAGCCAACAACATGCATACACCAGTACCGAAGCAAGGACCATTCGTATGGCTGCTTGTGTTCGACGAGCTCGAGCTTTTCGTTGCTGTTGGTTGAGATGGGCGTGAATGGCACGAGGTCTGGACAGTCGTCTTATTGTTGAAATACTAAGTACGAATATAACAATTATAGAAATAAGGTTTACAAATGAGGAGATAATTGTAAAACACATGCGCAGTTTGCTCCATAGAAGAACACAACGGCCAGTTTCAGAGTTCAAAATAGAGTTATGCCACCAATGAGCTTCCAGAGCCATAGGGATTAACCAGCAGATACCGATTACTGCAATTTGTTGTCTAAATGTGTAAGCATGCGATCTTTGCAATGTCCTTCTTGTTGCCCTGAATCGTTCGATGCTGATTATCAAAAGAGTAACCAAGGAGACTCTATATGAGACTTGTAGAAGAAACCGCTTTGTCTTGCAGCTAATGTCACCCAGGATACCATCAGGATATTTTATTAACAATTTGCCTTCCGATAGCCAGGGAATGTCCATTATCAGATTCAAAAGAATGTAGAGAGTATCTGACACGGCCATGTTGATGATCAAATTATGCCAGTTCTTGCGTACTGTGTATTTCAGAGCGAGTACTATGACAAAGATGTTTCCTGTAAGTCCCAATGTTATCAAAATGATCACAGCAATGCGTTTTGCATTATACTCTAGCTGTGTGTCAGGTTCATCGTACTTGCAATAATATCCTGGGCTGTTGTTAGTAGCGTTGTTTGGGATCAGTGAAGAGTTATTCATCTTGTTGCAGCTCTTGCGTCTGGCTATATCAGTGAAGCAGCAAAACTGTTTCTGCACTTCGGATGCACTGGCTTATTCATACCTTATCGAGGCGCCGTAGTGCTGCCAAAAAAACAAGCTGACAATTATTTGTAGGCGAACATATAGAGTGGCGTCTTACATTCTAATTTGTAATTTGGGAGCCGTGTCAGACTACAGAAATTTCATTTCAAAATGTCGCGAAATTAAGTAGCCTTTATTCAAATGAATTAACAGCATTTATTATATATCAAGTGTCAATGTTCACTTTTCCTAGTATCTTATTGGTCGAGAGTGTACCACATGAAAGTCACAAAATTTTACTGTTTCCCGGCAACTGTCCACCAGCGGTCAATAATATGTTGTGGACCGTCAATAAGTACAAAGTCGCAGAAAAGCAATCTTCAATGTCGTGAAAATGTCACATTTACGGACGTTGCAATTCCAAAATTGTTATGAAACATTTAATTTCGACTACAAATAGTTATTATATTCATTGTGTTATTACATTGATTGATTTTAGTGACATTTGACTATTTGTATTGCCATTTTTCATGATCAGTCATTTTAACAAAATCTTTAATAAAAACACTTCATTTATTTACGTTTTTTGCTCTCTTTGACACTTGATATGATAATAAAGCTTCGCTTCGGGAAACATCAGCGGTCTCGGGACCACAAAACATACTGTTTCCCTCGGTTCCAGTAAATAAGTGTCAATTGTTAACTCGACACATTGGCAATATGGCAATGCACACTGCAGATGCATGACTATAATAAGGTTTGCAAAAAAATATAGTTCAGATACTATGGACTGACAAAGATATGAACAGAAGAACACCTAGAAAACTTGGCTGCGTTGGGAAAACATATTTCCTGATTTGCTACACCGTAATTTAGAGTGCAACCTTAATAACTGTTCAGTCATATTTTTTTTTCTTTATGGGCTATATTTATTAGTAAGAGTGATTTTCTTTAAACCGTGAAACAAAATGTAATAGTCAAAAATTATGATACACCAAATAAATAAAAGGTATAAACAAAGAGTGATGGATTGTAGTGTGCTAAGGTGTATTTCACCGGTTTATTACATGAAAATCAATCTATGCAAAATTCAACGGGAATCGAAAGAACTAAAACAGTTGAGAGATTGGTGGGGAAAATTAACGTCTTGCGATCGCCTTGTCATTTAAAAGTGATGAAAAATGCAGTGCAAGAAGCATAATATTTTTTTTTTATTATTTGGTTAATAGTATTTTACCGGCGATATGAAAATATCCCGGATGTACGCTCGCGTCCAATATAAACAACTTTCCCCGTCTTGCGATCGCCTTGTCATTTAAAGTGAAGGGCGGTCGACACAACATAAGACCAAACTCTTAAAAAGTTGAGTTGATCTCTTTAGCTAGCCTCATATGTGTGCAAAATATTCAGAAATTCAGATAAAACTCGTGAAATCTCCAACTGTTTCCATTGTCTTCTATACTCACGAATAGTACGGATCTCTTGCATTTGCACGGGCTGTATACGTGAAGAAAAAAATGGCTTAAGGCTAACAGAGCGAAAAAGAGATCGCTAAAATGGTTTATTGCGAAAATCTAACGGAGTGATCTTTTTTATTCTTCTAACGCATGGGTTTTGGGATTTTTAAACATTCTCTTGTCTCAGTAGTGGAGAGTAAAATAAGTGCAGACGTAATTTATCGGCCAATATATCAGTTATAGTGAAAACCGCAACTTATAAGCGCTTTTCCCAATTAATGCTTTTTATTATGGAAAGAAGAGTTTCGATTACAACTTTAAACGGGAATTTACATTACACTCTTATAATTTATAAAGAAAGTAGAGTTCAAAGAAAAAAATCCTATAAGCGTTTTTGCGCTTTCGTACTTGCGCTTTAGGGCTCAGGTTGAATTAGTAACAACTCTAACAACTCTATACCATTTTTTTTAATAATATATATTTCTTCGAAGAGGGGAGAGAAAAAATATTGATATTTATTTTCGGTCGAAAAAGATGCGTTGCTCAGTAAATCAACTAATTATGGGCGCTTTCCATTTGTCAGAACTGGCTGGCCAGACCTAGAGAAAATGTCATTATATATCATTCCTATTTAGTTGGGAAATTCAAATTTTCAATTCTATACATTATTCTTTAGAAAACCACGAAATGACTAAAAAATGTTGACAAAAAGCATAATATACCTCTAAATAGAGCGGAATGGCCGGCCAGTTCTACCTAAATGGAAAGCACCCTATGTTACATCATGAATGTGGAGAAAATTACAGAATTGACTGTTTTGAATGTATAGCTGCAAACGTACAGTCAATTGTATGAACCACCAGTTGGTCTCTGTTTCATTTAAGCCTATTCAACTATATTCAACTATATCAATATTAGAATGAAGCCAAAATGGCAGCCAGAGATAGAGATGGATGGGAAGAGAGGGTGAAGGCCTTATGCGCCTACTGGCGCGAAGAGTTATGATGATGATGATGATGAACTTGTTTAGAAAACCGATTATCAGGCATAAATGTTTTTTTTAACATATAAAACAGTTTTTTTTTGAAAAACATATAAAACAATAAAATAATATTACAAAAATTAAAAAAAAAAGAAGAAAAGGGTGCGAATCCAACGTTTGCATGAACAAGCTACAGTGTTAGTTTAACTTTAATTAAACATTTTATTTAATCATTATCCTCGTACATTTTCGAAAGTGTAAATATATAGTAAAATTAACATTGTGAAGTTCAATTCCATTGTCAGTTATCTGCAGCTTATTTCCGACGCCATTCAGATGTTTAACCCTGTACAAAGGAGAATACAAGTACACACTAGTTGGATTTGCGGAGACTAGCTTGAAATCGAGAGTTTTAGCTCAAAAGAGAAAAGTTTTATAAGTGCATTAATGTTTGATATTAGTGTTTATGTGTCATAAACACTAATACTGACGTAGTTATAACGTGAAATGCATTCAAAATGCATAGTGTATTTATTGTCTGTATTGGCTGAAATTTAGTGTCTTTTGATGGACCAGAACACTGCTGTATAACACTGACTGCGCACCCGTGAATTCATTCATTTGTTATTCGTGAATAAAGACTTGTCGCAAATCGTGGAACACGGTTTTCTTGGGAAGTTTTCGAATCTGACACCGTTGATTTTTCAGTTTCCAATTAATGTTCTAGTAAATTTTAGACGTTGTTCCCCCTTTAAGGACATAAAATTAAATGCCCCTCCCCCTCCCCCTTCCTGATAAATATTGCGCAGTCCCTAAAACGAAGGATAGCACCCGGTTCATAATCTGCAAAAGCAGACTAATTGATCATACTTTGTTCATTTTGTCCCAAGTGCGTTTACTCTACTATGATCTTGTTTTTTTCAACATCTACCAAGACTGTACGCAAAGGCACACACACAGAACCTCACTTAGTATAGATGATTTCGTTCGACTGCGAAACGGCATGGACCACGGCACGGTACGGTCACGGAACCTCGCCTTCGAATAGTGAATACAACTCGTGAAGGATAACAGTTACGCATTACAGACCACCAAAGAATAAAGTTTCAGAGTGATGTTTTTTTTAACATTATATGTCCCTGGTTCCTACAACACTATGAAAAGTAATGTGTAATAATATTTAACTTAAAGTTGAATAAGCGTCTTTTTTATTTAATTATATATATGGTTCGGGGTGCGTCTTTGTCCCAAATAGTTTTGTCGTCTGTCTATAGAGCTTCTTTTCATTCCAAGGAAATGCTCCCCCTATATTGACGTCGTTGTTTCAACCTCCTTTATCGCGACAATGTATAGTTTTTAGACTCAGCGTAAAGCGTGGCCGTTCTTTGTTAACTATTAGCTTCTTGTTCCATTTCTTGCGCTTTGATTCGAGCTTCTTCCAAGTTAGCCTCCTCAACAGCTGCAGAAAACACGTCTTTTGTGGGTTTATTCTTGTCGTCTTTCTCGGCTAATCTCTCGAACATGTTTGCTGTTATAAAAAATAAGTTTATATTTTATAAACTTCAATGAAATTCCAAGAAATCTCAAGCGCAAAAAAGTGATATCCTTTACATGTGAAAATAACACGTTATAATGAATACTCCAAGACCTATCTTTTGCTTTATAGTCGATATTTATACAATAATCGCTTCGCTCACTCGTGAAATATCAAAGGGACACTCGAAGATATAATACTTATCTCTACGCGCTCAGTAATATCCTCTATATAATTACCAAACAAGTGAATGGAATTCAATTAATGCCGGAAAATACGAAGATCTGCAAAAACCCTCCACTTATCTTGGCACATTGCCGTTTGTTGGTCTTTCTCGTTTTACGCCTTGCCTAAGCATTAGCAATATAGCGAATTAGCAACATAGGCCTTTTCTGAGATAGGAGTTTGCATTGCATTGAGTTCTAGATTCGCAAGGGCGGGTCCAGGATTTTCAGGGAGGGGTGCAGGGCTCTCAGGAAGGGGTGCACCCCGAGAAAAATCATTACCATGAAGATACAAAATAAGGAAGGTATTGAAGGATTCAGATCTCTGTCCACAAGAGTTCTGGGATTTTGTATCCGCAAATATTCCTTTTTGCGGGTACAGCTAGCATCCATAATTGTCCACTGTTTACGCTCTTCAGAGTGGAATTTTGTTGTTGTTGTTGTTGTTGTTGTTGTGGTACTTATGAGAGAGTGGGGACGGATTCTTGGAATCTCATCAATTACCTCGACCAATCAAAGCGCGCGTTATTTCTCCAAAACTTAATAAATTCTGATGAAGTACACATTTCACCCAATCAGAGCGATCCTTATATATTATAAAATATTTTCTCCATACAATCTGATCAAGATTGAGCTTCAGCCAATCAGAGTTCTTAATCTAAGCAAGTAACTGCTGCTCTTACCAAAAGTCTTCTTATCTTTCGCATTTTGAATCTTTAAGTTCTGGTTAACTATTCGTAGTTGTTCACGTGCTTCTCTGTTTTTTGGATCAAGCGATAAGACAGCAAGGAAGTCACTCTTTGAGCTGCTGTAATCTTTGAGCGCCAGTCTTGCCTTAAATAACAATACATGCATCTCAGTACTTTTCGAGAACGATGCGCCCGCCATCTTGAAAAGTGTGATTCGAATCACTAAATCATAACTCCTAAAGGAATTTAGGCTTCTAAGCTGAGTCAAGTTAATATAATTCGATACAATGATAGATTAGTTGACTTAGCAACTACGAAATGTGTTCTAAGGCACAACATAGTGAATCGGGTCTCACTTTTCAAGATGGCGGACGAATTGTTCTCCGAAAGTACTGGTGCATTTATAGAGAATGCGAAAAGTCAGGAAGACCGGCAATGGTAACGGCCATCATCAAAGACAACCATGATATTGCAAATAACAATGTAAAACAAAGTTCATCAAAGAACATATTCAAATAGAGTAAGTTGCGTACCTTTCCTCTTCTAAACAACGCTTTGATGTTCTCTTTATCGATCCCTAAAGCCTGAACAACACCGAAAATAAAAATATATAAATGATCTATTTACATAGTCTGAATTTTCACGCAAGGCGAACACAGCCATTGAGACGTTGTACATCAAACAGTTTAACGTTTGAATATGAGGACCGCATGGCAATATGATAGAACGATAAAGAAATGAAAGAAAGTTATAGTGCTTAGAAGGAAGCAATTCCGGGAGAAAGACCCTTAGGAATAAATTCAGAAAAAAATAATTTCCGACATCGCTGGGATTCGAACCCACAATCTTAATTATTTTTTTCCGAATTTATTCCTTAGGGTCTTTCTCCCGGAATGGTCTCCTTCACGGTTACCTGTGCCATGTTGAAAGGTAGCCGTGCCTTTACATCGAAGCGAGACAACCGTTGAGCATGCAATGATAGATACCTGTGAATAATTATCTGTAGGTGTGAAAGATGGTTTCTATCATTGCACGCTCAACGATCGTCTCGCTTTGATGCAAAGGCACGGCTACCAAGATGGCGCAGGTAACCGTGAAGGAGACTAGTGCTTCCTTCTAAGCACTATAACTTTCTTTCATTTCTATATAGTACAACGATTGTCCCTTTCGTCCATACGATCTCACATGTTTATGGATTCACTTACCTTTTCACACGCTTTAATACATTTGAAATTATTTCCAAGCTTTAAATGACAAGCTGCGAGGTTAAGGTGTCCTGCAACCTTAATGGGATTGGTTTTTTTGAGCTCTTCTTCATCAAAATATCCATCAAGCATTTTGACTACCACTGCGTACTGCTGACAAGCTATCTTATGTTTGCCCTCCTAGGATTGAAAAATAAAAGTCAGTTGATGGTTAAAGGTCCGCTAGCATCCGACAGCCTTTGCGCGATCAGTTTCTCAACTGCGCGAAATCGCCATCTTTGATCTGGAATCAATCAAAAAGAGATCATTTTGTGACAGAAAACTAACGATCGCAAAGGTTATCGGATGAACGTGGACCTTTAAGTAATATATAAAATATGAGCGGGAGATCTTTATGGGCATTTTTAAAAACTTCTCGCTGCAAGCGAGCATTTTAAGGTCAATAAAGGTCGGACGCGAATATTTTGTATTGCTAAAGCATATTTTGCAAAAAAAAACTTCGAGATTTATAAATTATTACTTTATATAGAGAAAATCGAAGTCAAAGTCGTATGCAAATGACAAATCTCTTGCTGATATAAAGATGCGGTCACGACAATGATTTTCCATTGCGTTTACCTCATGAATTATTAATGAATTAATGATAAGACAACAAAAACGTATCATGATTTAAAAACAAGTAAATGCAACTTTTAACAGGAGATAATCATAAAAAACGTTCTTAGATTAATGTGGATCTTCAAGACAAGAAGCTGCAGTATTCCGATGTTTTGCCCTTTTGGGACTGCTATGACATAAATGTACTATTCAAACAAAAAAGAGACTTAGAAGAAGGGACAGCAAGCCCATATTAAATAATTTTGTCCCCTTTTTGTCTTACCTTAAAGAACTTTGTTCCTTTGTCTTTCATACGCAATGCAGTAGCAATCTTTTCATCATTTGTCAGCTCCCATGCCTCAGAAAGCTGCAGGATTAAATTCATGAAAAATGTTTAAATAATCCCATAAAAGAAATCCCTGACAAAAGCAAACTGAATAAAACTAGAAACAAGAAAAAAATATAGTCAGGAATACAGGTTTCTTGATCATGAGTTTTCTTGTTTTGAAAGCTCTAAGCGCCATAATATTATGTTTGACTTAGGCAGCAATAATGTCTTGTTATCTGATTAAGATAGCAATAAATTCTGGTTTACAGATAGCCTAAGATAGCAATAATCTATGGCTAACTGATATCCTAAGAAAGCAATAAAGTTTGGTTTACTGATTGACTAAGATAGCAATAATGTATGGTTAACTGATAGTCTAAGATAGCAATAAAGTTTAGTTAACTGATTGACTAACATAGCACTAATGTATGGCTATATGTAACTGATAGTCTAAGATAGCAATAAAGTTTGGTTAACTGATTAACTAAGATTAGATAGGAACCAGTTAACCATGGCCTTTTTGAGAGACTTGCAGTTAATGATAGCACAATAATACACAAAATATTATTCAAAGTTAAAGTTTACCTTTTCCATATTTTTCATCACAATTTGGTATTCTAGTGTAGCATCCCCAGGGATCCCAAATTCTGGGTTCCCATTGGGTCCAAACCCAAATTTACCAGGCTCAATCCTAACATCAGCTGTTTCTTTATTAACCATTTGACCAATTGCTGCCTCCACTCCATCAAGGACATTGACCTCTGAACCTACAGATGTAAAAGATGAACAAGGTTCCTAAAAAGATGTATTTTGATTAAGAATTGGCAAAATTTGGGTATTGACTGTCTTCTACAGAGCATCTACTGAAACCGGGGCCACCTAGAGAATACAAAGAATTCAAATTAAGGAAACATCTTTTCATTAAGCTTTAGCTCTTTTCAATATCACTGATCATCGTTCTTTAGCTTTTTTAAGCCTTGTTTTCATCGCAATTATGATAATTTTACATTCTCCAGGTCAGGCCTCATGATGAAATCTCAAATTATTTGTGTACTTTTCATGCAGATACTGAGATTTGCAAATGATGTCATAGAGACTTCGCGACTAAAATTAAAATGATTTCTTTTAGTCTTCTATTGCTATGCTGTGCGATAAAACACATAACTAACTATTGTTTTTACAAAATGTACATGTAGGCCTGTAAATTATTTAAATTTATTAGCTTTGCCCCTAGTATGGGCAGGGACACCGCAACAGCGTGAGCCAATTACTGCGGGCCCTGTACTCTCACACTCACTACCTCTACATTAAGTATTTTAGCACACAACACTCCTCACATGTTGATTTTTGCTGAGGGAGGAAAACCGGAGGACCCGGAGAAAAACCCTCGTGGTAAGGGAGAGAACAACACATCAAACAAACTCAAACTCACATATGGTCCGTGCCCGGGAATCGAACCCGGACCACAGCGGTGAGAGGCCAGTAGCTTAACCACTAGACCACCCATGCCACCCATTTATAATTAATGATATATTATTCATTTCTAACATTTTTGATAGTTCCTCTAATCAGGAGCCCTTAATTACTGTACCTCTGCCCTTCCCCCCCCCCCCCGAATTAAGTATGTAAAGCTTCAAAGTTGGTATTTTGCCTTACAATAACACACGTCATATAATCTCACCTTCACCAAAAGTGAATGCTACATCTCTGTCTTCAAACACTTTACCATCATATTTACCAGTTAAATGAACTATAATTCAAAGAGAACCCAGTAGTTAGAAAATAATCAGATTGCAAACAACATTTATTAGTATTTAAACATATTAATGGTCTACCACTCATACTGCACTGTGATTGGCTACTCTACTAATGGTCTAATTTGTGATAGACCTCACTCGCAGGAAAACCTCATTAATAAATTATGTTAAGGATATTTCAATTTGTTTTCATTATTTGACCGATTAGTATGTTTATACTAAAACAATTAGACCTCTCGGCCTCATGGTCTACGAGCCAGGCATGTCGGAATTATGCACGGATGCGAAAGCGCATAATTGCCCCCTTTCCGCACAATTTACCAAATCGCGCATAATTCGTGTTTTTTTCCCATGTTATACCATTTTTTAAGATGACTTGCCTTCTACTAATGTTTTTTGTGGTCCATTGACTGTTTTTTTGATCAAAAAATGCTCCCAAACATGCTTATAATTTTCCGAATATAGTTTTGTTTTCGTGGGCTTCGCAAATGTACCAGGCGTTCAAAATTTCATCAGAAAAGAGTCTGGGCACTAGCATTAATGGTCACCCTGTGCCTTACTAGATCACGTGACAAATTCCAATATGGCGTAAGATACAAGTGAGATGTAAAGCGTGCAAGATGAAAAAGTCTAAAAAGATCTTTCCTTCTGTTGGTACTGACTTCTGTACTTCGTAACTAAGATAAAAACGGAGTTTTGCATGAAAAACAAACACAATAACCTAAATATATGTTAAATTTCCCAAAGTTTACGTTCCTGTGATGATGTCATCCCGCATAATTTTCCGCATAATTCACCCTTTTCTCCGCATAGTATGGGGAAAAAATTCCGCATAATTTTGATTTTTTTCGCGCACAATTCCGACATGCCTGACGAGCTAATAGCCCATCGGCCTCGCGGACTGGGCCTCATGGGCTATTAGCTCGTAGTCCACTCGACCTCGAGGTCTAATTGTTAAATTAGCACTTTTCATGAGATGAGGAGGACAAGTTACACCAAGTGATGACCTGGATTACAAAGGCTGAGTTTACTTTTTGTTATATAGGGCCTCAAGGATGGCAATTCCTGATGTAAATAAACTATAAAAAGGCCAAAAGGTTTTTAAATAAAATGCAAAAAAATACAAATATGAATGATTGTATATTACCTTCAATTTGAGCACCAGTGTTAGGTCTGTCATAGCCCTCTCCTTTTACCAGCACAATCTTTGTCACCTCTCCATCCTTGGTTACACTAGTACCTTTCCAGCAAACTATCTCTATGTCAAACTGAAGAATACTATTAGGGGGGATCTTACTGCCCCCTAGCTTGCCATAACCATACTGAGGTTGCACTGTTATCCTTGATTTCTCATGGAGTTTCATTGTGGGAATCGAAATGTCCCAGCCACGGATCACAACACCTGGTTATAAACAGTATGTTACTTGGTGAGTTTGAATCATTGAAAGTTATTATATAGATGACGCGCACTCTGATTGGCCAAAAAAGTGTGGTTTATGAGAGTATAAACCAAAATTGTGCACGAGCGATTTTTGAAAAAGCCAACAAAATGGATTTTTCGTTTTGGTCAAAATCTATATAATAAAACAAAAAAATAAGTTTCAGCCTGTGGTTTATACTCTGATAAACGCACGCTTGGCATTTGAAACACACTCAAAAAATGTCCAAAAGCACTCGCTGAAGTATACAGGCTAGTTTAAAAAATATTGAATAGAGAATAGTGCATTCATTCTATTTTGGACAACTTTTCATGTCTTTCATTCATACATGTGCCATCACTGGGCACTCATTATGACCTGCTGCCTATAACGTTGATAATAATAATAATATAATAATAAATAGTATTTATATAGCGCAAAATATCAATTGAGTTCTGATGCGCTTTACAAAATTTATAAAAATAGTTATAGAAATTTATGAAAAAAGATATAAATGTTTATTTGTAAAATAAAATTTCAAAATCACATACTTGATGTAGACGGGAAGGGTAGAGAGGTAGATATTGCAGGAAGGAAAAGAAGGCAGTTACATATTTTCACCAGATACACACGATAAGGTATATGCCATGTGCAATTCAAGCTCTCAATAATTTTGCATAGTTCTTGATATTGATCACAGACTTACGCTATGATCAACTTATAAAGTTTGCACATTTGCCATTGCGTGATTTTTCCAAACATGAATTCGTTCTCTCACCTTGTCCAAGAACAAACTTGAAAGGTTCGCCCCCAATATTTGAATCAAATTCATCTCCATTCATAAATTTGCCGATGTACTTCACAGACACTACGCTACCAGTGGGAACGGTGGACAAACCGGTTCCCTCACACAAAACAACCTTTCTAACGCCGCCATCTTTGCTTTCCGTTAAATCTACACCATACATTTCTTCTTCATTGTTTTGAGCAGGACTGGCAGAGGTCTCGGCCGTTTCCATGCTTGTTGGAGACATATTTTTTTACTAAAAGTATTCCTGAAGTATGCTGAAGAAAATTCAAGATGGCGACCGTCACAGCTGTCATACAACACCACAGGAAGCCCAGCGGATAGTGTAAAATACTAAAAATCCAGGGTATCCTTGCCATCCTTTAAAATTTTCTATATAAAATAAAAGACCTTTGGACTTATATCTCGTCCTTGCTCGCTTGATTTCCTCAATTATAGTTTATTTTACATTCGGAAAAAAATTGCGCTAACATGAGAGAAGCAGTATCAAATTTTGATCAAAATTATGCACTGTACTGAAAACGCCAAACTATTACAAAAGTGATATGCGTTGCATAGCAATATTGGGATTCCTGTGCTAGTTGACGCAATGCTCCACGCGGTCAATCAAGTAACGCCTGGGCGATACGCTCAAGTGCAGCTGTTTACACGCGTCTTTCAAGGTTTATATTGGCTACGTGCTATTCAATGTACTAAACAGCATCAGAAAATCGTCTACTTGCCGTTTGACCGACAGTAAATCTGGATAAATAACGCTCCAAAGACCTCGGAGCTCAGTTTCAAGTAATAAAGGTAAAACTTTGAATGATATTAGGTCAAACTGATGTCTATTTTTGAGATCCGATTGTTGACCGCATAAATTTTAGTATTAGTGTTAATTGAATTCTGATCCATCTGCTTAAAGATTCTAAATTCAGAGCGTTTATGCAATGGACGAGTGGATTGAATACAAGTGCAAGTCAGGACAGACTTTGTTTATTTACAACAAGTTGACAGGGGAACATAAATGGCTCACTGGCGATGGGAATGTAAGTTTATTGGTTCGAATATATAGTCGTTTAGTTATAGCAATCACTACTCAGATATTGTTGCATGTAATATTATTATTAAAATATAGCAGAAAATGTCCACTCCACTAGTGTGTACGAGGTCTACACTTTGACCCATGCTGTTCCATTACATTCCAATGTTCTTTTTGAACGAGAAGTATGTAACTTACATACAGTGTTCAAACATACGATATGATAGCTGTAAGCTTATTTGGCTGCTCACCGCAATATACATGTACAGCCTGGAGCATTTCCCTCAATGTTGGATTGAAAAATTTCAGGTTTTCTTTTTTTAATACAATACCAATTAAGTCCAGGAAATTATTTTCATTTGATATTAGAATCCCTGTAGCTGTTTCATTCCCTCAAACAGGAAAGATGCTGTCAAGTGGAGGCACTGTAAATACTGCATTGAATGTCACATTAATCTGATGACTCATATTTTTTTTTCATTATGTAAAGAAAATTTTAGCATTGACTGTTTGGATACTGTTTAGGAATCTCATTCAACAAACACAACAAAAGGGGTATTGAATGGTAAAATCTAAGCCTGCAAGACCCTTGTTTTAAAATCTGAGCGCGAGCCTTTGGCTGAACAAGTCCAATATTTCAGCAATTGTGAGCTTCCAAGCCAAAAGAGATTTTAAGTTGGAGACCCATTCTTTAAGTGCCAAGCTTGCAAGCCTTGGGATTTTTTTGGGGATTTCTGAGACACCATTCTACACCCCTAACAAAGGATTCTCAACTTTCACTAGCAGAAATACAAAGAATGCTTGTTCTAGTTGTAGTTTTTATAAGACACATTCCATCTCTTTCATCAATACAATGACGCACTTTAACACCATAGCCTTATTATGACCAGTGAGGAATCCTTGTGGTACAATGCTTTTGGGGATCGAGTAAACAATTGAGAAAGATGGCAATGCTCCAGTCATCTACATGCATGCCTTGGGCAAAATTCTTAGAAAACCAAAAGGAAAGTTTTAGGTCATTCTAGCTAATCTTGGAAGCTATATAATATTTTGTACATACAGAAAATACAACTATACACACCAATTTCAACAAGAAAGACTCACTAAAACAAGTTTATCAAAAATTAGGGTTAATATCATGATGATTGTAGTGAGTGACTTGTTTTGACTAAGACAGGGAGATTAATATCCCATGATACATTGCAGACCAATTGAAAATGGCAGACTTGTAATATGGACTATTAAGTTACCCATAACATCATTTTGAGGGAAAGCAAACTTTTTTTAATTAATGTGATATTATTTTTACATTAAGGGCTCTTTAGAGGAGAGCATATTGAATGGTGAACCGATCAAACGCAAAGAAGTCTGCAGTATTGGTACACAGACAGATGACAATGGCTGCAATAATGGCTGCACATCTATGTATGCTGATGTAATTCCAGACCAGATTTCTCATGCCACAGACCTCCCCCCTCAACCACAACCAATTGTACTTTACCGAAGAGAAGACTCGTTTGGTAATCCGTCAGGTGGAGAGAGTAGATTTGTTCAAGTTGAAAGGGAAGGAAGATCAGTCAATAACTCTTCTTCAGGAATCAGAAGTAGCAGTGAAGCTGTGTTTACCAATGAGCGGCATCAGTCTACAACAATCAGTGAAACAGCTTACAATGCAGAAATAGATGAAAATGAACACGGGTACTATGTCGTTCACATCAACCCACATAGCTGCACTGAAGCCAGATGTATGCCTAACCACCAAAAATACCATGACCCCATTGATGAAGAAGATGACACCATAGGGAAACCTTTTCAGTGTACTCACTGTAACAAGCGGTTTGCACGGAAGTTTAATCTCAATCTTCACCTTAGAACCCATACTGGGGAAAAGCCATTTGAATGTTCTTATTGTTCAAAGAAGTTTGCGCAAAAGTCAAACTTATATGTTCACCTGCGCAAGCACACTGGAGAGAAGCCATACCAATGTAACCAATGTGATAAGGTGTTTGGGCATAAATGCAATTTGTATAATCATATGAGGGCACACACAGGTGAAAAACCTTTTGAATGCTACTATTGCCATAAGAAATTCCAAGGGAAGCGGAATTTGAGAGTTCACCTGAGGTCGCATAATTACTCTGGAGAAAGTTCCTGATAAGATTAACTGTACCAAGAGGTTTGTGCAGTATGAATTTAATTACTTTCAATTACTTGTCTCTAATAGATATAGAACAAGTGAAAAGTATTCCAACTCAAGGAAATAGTCAGTAATAATTAAGYTGGTCTTATTTGTGAGACTCTGTGCAAGACAATAATTTAACGTGACAATATTTATATGCTAACACCTACATAGTTCATTTTATATATTGCACATACTGCATTTAATCAAATTCAATATTTATACACTATGTCATATAATAATATTATATTTAAAGTATTTGGGCACAAAACTGTGGTTGCAAGAATGTATCACAATTTTTAATGAATACTAACAGTAAAAGGAGCACATTACTAACAGAGTCATTTTCATCCGTCTGTGAAACAATTACTACTATTCAATGTTTAATAGTAACTATCAGGGTGTAGTAGGCTACCAAAAAGCAAACTCAAGACCATGTTTGCCTAATTACTTTGTCGCATTTCATAAGTTAAACTATTGGAAGCTAATAGGGGGTAATAGTATTTAATTTAAATTATTACAATTCCTATTTCACAGACGGATGAAAATGACTCTTTGTTCTTATGAAATGGAAATAAATACAGTTTGTAGCTAATGATTACATGACTGTGTACATAAAGGGATTTAATGATAAAGTCATAACTCAATCTATCATGTGGTCATATTTTTGTACTGACTACTGTACTGATCTATCGACTGCAGTACATAAGAAACTTAAAGAAAATTTCAAGAACATTTTTAAGGCTGATTTGCCAGCCTGACATCCAAAATCATGCAGGTGATTTATACTCTACAGCTATTTCAGAAAATTTGTTGTTCAGTAATGAAGATTTTGTATTCCTCCAAAATGCATTTTTTGTGGGTAATATATCACAACTTTAACAGCGAATTTCACAGATTCATACTGAAAATATGCTCTTGTAGGAAGCAATAAATTTCCAGTCAATTTGTAATGCCATTTGCATTGAATCTGATAGCAACAATGCATTCTGTTCCTAGAATGCTGCAAATGCAGTATTAAAGTTGACTATTGTGGAGCTTCAGTTACCTTTTCGGTCATTCTTTGGCAAAAGAAAAAAGAAAAAATAGAAAGGACTGATGTATGTTGACTTAATTCAATGATTCTTATGGAAGTTGTACATTCCTATGTATTCACAATTTCTACTAACTTCAATTTTAAAAGTCAAGTTATTTATTAATAACTAATAGTCCACTTCGCGGATAATTCGAAATTTTACATTACGTCGTTATGGTAAATCATTGACATCACTGGAAAGAGCGTCATAAAATCAGCAAATTTGCCAAGTTTGAAAATAATCTGATTTAAATTCAAAGAGATACGGCACTTCAAAAACACTAAATTTTGCATAGAAATGTTTGGCGAGGTTGTAACAAGTCAAGGTCAACCTCGATCTCATGCTGACAGACCATACATTTCTTTGTAAATTTTGCCGAATTTTAAACGCTGTATCTCCTTGAATTTTCATCGAATCATGCTCAAACCTGGTAAACATACTAATTTTATACTGTTCTTTCCAGTGGTGGTAATAGTTTTTCGATATTTGCTCAATTTCTAATAGCTGTGTTATCCGCGAAGTGGACTATTACAATCAAGTACAATAGCCTAAAGTATGTAGATTTTACTATGAAAAAAGCTCATAAAATACACTGCTTGCTTTATTGTACAGGGAATGGGAATTCATATCTTTCTTCATATTCATATCGCGTTAGAATTGTTTCTCGCTAGCAAATTAAAATATTTAAGTACGTGTTTGTACATTTATTCTACTGTTTGTAATTAGTAAACATAAAAAGTAATACAGGAAATACAGGATTCTCAATTATTGGTTGGGCTGCCTATGACATAAATTTACCTTTGATTTATTTATCTCTGTTGTTTTTGCAGGGAACTAAATTTGAACCAGGTTAATTCCTGCATGAATTATCATGTATTAGTATAAATTATACGTGTTTTTCCTATTATTTGTACAATCATGTACAGCTGTTTGCAACAATTCTGACCCCCCCACACTAATATTCATATATATCAAAGTAGCCTTAGAAATTATGGGATATCAATGCTGATATTTTTTTTAGAAAGTACTCATTCTGGACAACTCAAAAAATATATCAGTCATGATATCCCATAATATTAAAGGTCAGTTTGATATATATGAAATATGGCAGAGGGGGTCAGAATTATTGCAAACAGCTGTATGTCCTATATATCAATTTATATTTATATCCTAACCTTGGACTTATTCTTGGAATTACTATAACTCTAGTATAGGGAATGATACTTCAATAAACGTTTGGTAATATTGATAACGTTTTATGATTATTGTGTAAAAGAATGATGCGGTTATGATGAACACAGGTTTATCGAAATTTGGCCTTCAAGCCAATACTCCAGTTTCGAATTCTCCAGTGCTCTGTGTTAGCCTCATCTGTGCGCAAAATATTCCTAATTGTGAGAATAAAAGTGTGAGATTTTAAATCAATTCTATTGTCTTTCTTCACAAAATTCCATGCGTTCTCTCGAGCTATCTATGGAACAAAAGAATATGTTACTTGGTTTTGAGGCTAACATAGAGCAAACCAGAACTCGAAATTGGAGTATTTTGTCATAGCTTCTAAGACGCGTTTTTCACATCCGGGAAATCGATTTGCGAAAGATAAAAAGTGTAAATAATGGCATGCTTTCTGTTAACACTTGTGAGTGTGGGAGGGAGGAAGGGTCGTCAGTATTTTTGGTACTTTTGAGGGAAGGTCAAAAGTTTAATTAATGCAGAATTACTGGATCCGGGTCACACATATTTGTTTGGGTAATAAATGTACCTTCCCTTAGACTCAAAAGTCTTTCAAGACAGAAGGCTGGTTCTGAATTCTGAATCTTTTGAAATCAAATGGTTTTCATAGGTTGAGCACTATGGAAATCATAGGTTTTTAAGATGTTTCGATCGTAATAAATTTGAGCAAAATGATGTACATTCGAGCAACTCGAAAATTTAGGTTAAGATTTTATTGAAACTTCGTCAGTATATCAATTATGTTATTAAAAATGATTCTGAAAATTTTGTTATAATATCTGCGGTGAGTTTCGAGAAAATTAATTTTGCAAAAGAATGAAGGTGTTTTTATTTTGCATCGTTTATCCAAATGGCTTCGTTTTTTGGCAAATTCATTCATCAACAAGAATAATCGATAATCAATGTGACTTCTGTGAAAGTTTTAGTGCAATTGAATCGAAATGTGCGACGCAGTTGGAGTTTAAAAATACGCGCGAAGCGCTATTTATTACGATCGAAACACCTTTTAATAGTATTTCCATATATGTATTGTAGGACATAATGTTATAATTATACTATTCAACAGAACTACAGTATCCTAACGTTTTCTATGACTTTGCATAATATAGAGTTGCCCGCTTTAATATGAAGACTGAATTTCGAGAAATCCCACTTATATAATTATTTCAGTAAGAAATTCGGTTCATAAGGCGCTAGCAATTATACATTTTCCATGTCACTTGCCAGATTGACAATAAGAATATTTCTTTCTAGATAATAATAAAAAATAAAGAGCATATTGACAGCTGTTTTCACAATGTGCATGGTCAAAAACTAATTTAGTTTGACCTTCTTTGCAGACACGATGTATTAAATGTTCATAGTCCCATTGAATCAGGAGGAGCCGACGACAAGGTCTGCTCTTCTAAATAACTGTTCTTGTATGGATTTTTTCCTGGAAAAGGGGTTTTTTGAGGTACATTGTTGACAATCCCACAAGCTATTGTGGGGCACTTCCTTCTTTGAAATATATTTTTTTGTTTTTCTGGCAACCGGTTTTATGGTCAAAAGCGGCTTTATATTTTATAAGTGTATTCTATTGGCCGAATTCTTAGAAAGTATTCCTTGCCTGGTAAGTTCTTTTTTCCTGGATTTCTTGCTGGCAACCAGTTGTGACTTACAGCTGGCTGGGACATAAGAACAGATATATTTCTCCCAGGAACCTGTCGGCTCCTCCTGATTGAACATTCACAGAAAATATTAAACATATACACACATTTCAAAAATAGTGGTCGAATAAAATGGCGAATATAATGACAATTTAGACCTCGTAATGCAATGCATTGTAGGATATGTTTGCGACATAACATGGCGGATTACTTTTGTTTTCTCCACAAACTGACCCCAACATGCATTGCGTTAAGTAGGTAACGTGAAAACATCGGCCTGGTTATTCAAAGATCGATTGACAATTTTAATTTTCGGCTGACTTGAGGCCAATAGTCCAGTCAATCTGTTGCTGAAGATCAAACTAATTGCAACAAAAGCTTTTTCACTGCCAAATGGCAGGTACTGGTCTACTAACTAACATACTAAAAGTTCCCCAAAATTCGGATAGAGGAACATGGTTAAAATAGCATTTTTTGATTTTCGAGTTTTACCACAGGGTACCCAAAACAAGTAAAATAATTATCTCGCTAAAAAATAGAATAAACTGAAAATAAATTACTAAATATAGCTTTTGACAAAAAAAGAGACACTTCAACAAGAAATTCCACAAATATTGTGTGGATAAACATATCAAAATGAGTGTTTTCTTATTTCACACTTTACCACAGGGTTCCCAATTCGTGAAAAACATCTTTTGATAAAAAATTCAAAAGATACATAATAAAGTTGCATTAATGTTCAAAACAACAACCCGATCCTTTTTTTTTTGTCATCATTTCAACAAACATATCTTTCTGCTA